GAATTGATGACCTATTAACAATACGCTGGGATTCCGTCAAGCTACGGCTACATCCATTTAATTTTTTGGTTCGACGCATAGAATTAGCTAAGCATTTTATCCGAACAAATATAGAACCAGAATGGATGGTTTTATGTCTCTTACCAGTTCTTCCTCCTGAATTGAGACCGATTATTCAAATAGATGGGGGTAAACTAATGAGTTCGGATATTAATGAGCTATATAGAAGAGTTCTCTATCGGAATAATACTCTTATTGATCTATTAACAACAAGTAGATCTACGCCAGGAGAATTAGTAATGTGTCAGGAAAAATTGGTACAAGAAGCCGTGGATACACTTCTGGATAATGGAATCCGCGGACAACCGATAAGGGACGGTCATAATAAGGTTTACAAATCTTTTTCTGATATAATTGAGGGTAAAGAGGGAAGATTTCGCGAAACTCTGCTTGGGAAACGAGTTGATTATTCGGGGCGTTCTGTCATTGTCGTAGGTCCATCACTTTCATTACATCGATGTGGATTACCCCGCGAAATAGCAATCGAACTTTTCCAGACATTTCTAATTCGTGGTCTAATTCGAAAACATTTTGCTTCGAACATAGGAATTGCTAAGAATAAAATTCGAGAAAAAGAACCGATTGTATGGGAAGTACTTCAAGAAGTTATGCAGGGACATCCCGTATTGCTGAATAGAGCACCTACTCTGCATAGATTAGGTATACAGGCATTCCAACCCATTTTAGTAGAAGGGCGTGCTATTTGTTTGCATCCATTAGTTTGTAAGGGATTTAATGCAGACTTTGATGGGGATCAAATGGCTGTTCATGTGCCCTTATCTTTAGAAGCTCAAGCAGAAGCTCGTTTACTTATGTTTTCTCATACGAACCTTTTGTCTCCGGCTATTGGGGATCCAATTTCTGTACCAACTCAAGATATGCTTATTGGACTTTACGTATTAACGAATGGAAATCGCCGAGGTATTTATTCAAATAGGTATAATCCATGGAATTGCAGAAATTATAAAAATGAACGAATTCGAGATAATAAATATAAGTATACGAAAAAAAAAGAACCTTTTTTTTGTAATTCCTATGATGCAATTGGAGCTTATCAACAGAAAAGAATAAACTTCGATAGTCCTTTGTGGCTCCGGTGGCGACTAGATCAACGCATTATTTCGTCACGAGAAGTTCCTATCGAAGTTCATTACGAATCTTTTGGTACCTATCATGAAATTTATGGGCATTATCTAGTAGTAAGAAGTACAAAAAAAGAAATTCGTTCTATATACATTCGAACCACTGTTGGTCATATTTCTTTTTATCGAGAAATCGAAGAAGCTATACAAGGTTTTTGCCGGGCCTACTCATATGATATCTAGGATATCTAATCATATAGATGGTTGATATCTAAGATAAGCAAATTTAAGATACCGGTGTAAATTCAGATCTTCCCGGTTTAACTAGGATCATAGTTTTTCAATTTCTATACAAATAAAGATAAAGAAAAGGAAGTTTTCCAATCATTGACTCAAACCCATTGTCGAACCGAATCCCACTGAGTGGAATATGGAGGTACTTATGGCAGAACGGGCCAATCTAGTCTTTCACAATAAAGTGATAGGTGGAACTGCCATTAAACGACTTATTAGCAGATTAATAGATCACTTCGGAATTGCATATACATCACATATCCTGGCTTTAAACACACATTCACACATCTCTTTTAATAGGGAATATAAAGGAATAGACAAAAGGCAAAACAAAAATATTCCTATTTTGCCTGCTGCTCATAGGGTTCTCTCAAGAACCCATAGAGCATTCCAATTTATGCAATAAACATTTAAAATAAGATAATTCACGTATATAATTATTATCACAATTAATTTACTCATACAAGCACCAATGTACTCCCTTAAGGTTTCTCGTAGGAACTCATAGGAGCACCAAATTCCACAATCATAGCATAAACAAAGTTTCTATTCATACACGCATATTAATTAAATAATTGGAACATACAAGAAAAATATGACATACAACAAATACAGGATTGAGGGCCAATCCCACTACCCAGCATACAATCCCTCACCCAGAGCGAGGTTTCTCACTCCCCCCTTATCTCGATAAACAGGGGTTGAAACTGAAGTAGGATCTCTTCCTCCGGGTTTCCCTTGGTCTCCAGAAAGTGTAGAAGAAAAAAGGGTCAAAAGTGAAAAATGTCTTTTTCTGGAGTGCCAAAACGCATTTATAGGCATCAGGATTTGGCCAAAACGGCCCGTTCCGAATCTGGAACGTCCCGTTCTGGGCACATAGAACATGTACAAAAGCCTATCTCAGAACAGTCCGTTCTGAGTCAATATTTTTTCCTTTAAAACCACATCCGGAACGGCCCGTTCCCAAAGTGGAATGGCCTGTTCTGGGTTAAAATTTTACTCATGCATGCTCGAGTTGGAATGGCCCGTTCCCAAAGTGGAACGGCCCGTTCCGGAACTATGAAAATCCAGAATTACTAATTAATAAATAAATAAATAAACAACATATATATATATATATATATATATATATATATCTATATATAT